CTAGTTCTTCCTTCAGGCCCTGGTACTTCTCCAGCTTCTCATACTCCTATATATATATACAGTGGTACCTCGGGTCACGAACGTAATTCGTTCCGCGACTCTGGTCGCGACCCAAATTGGTCACAACCCGTTTCAACTTTTCCCATAAGGTTCAGTGTAAATACGGTTAATCCGTTCTGAACCATATGTATTTTTTTTTAAAACCACAAAAATATGAAGCAAAGTACAGTACAGTACAGTATGAAGAGAGAGAACACTAACCTTGCTTGAGGCGACTTCTGGCATGGAGGACAGAAAGGCGGGTGGGGAGGCGGTTATTGTTTGGAGGGAGAGTCCCCCTCCCTACAAGAAGCCACGACCCCGTGTCACAGCAGGGAAAATGGCCGCGGGTCATGTTCGTCACCCAATGCGGAGTTCGCGGACGGAAGCAAAATTTTGCGAACGGTGCTGTTCGTGAACCGAATTGTTCGTGAACAGAAGTGTCCGTGAACCGAGGTATTACTGTATTTTGATGTTTTTTAAAAGCTTAATGTCCTTGTGAAGCACAATTCCATCTCTGGATATTAACAAGAGATAAATTTTAGAACTCAACATATCTCGCAGTCTCTGGACATTATGTGGTACATTCAGAGTGTGAAGCTGCTTCATAATGTTTTAAAATTAAGCCAAGTTTACATTTAGGCAGTAGCCTGTCCCCATCCTCACTGTCTGCTCCAGGGCATGGCCCTGTCTTGCCTGCCCAATTCCTCACTGAATCCTGCGGTGTAACAACATGAGAAATGTTTTTCTGTTGGTCTCTGAGGAGACAGATCTGAACTTGTCATCTCTTTTCTTCTTATACTTTGTTCCTTCTCTTACTTTTACTGCTTTTCCTTCTTCCTCTTAATAATTTTACGTATGTTTACTGCCTCAGGGCTTAAAGATATCTTTTCCTCAATGTTCCCACTGTAGGACCAAACTCAGACGACATTCCTTATAAATGCTGGACTTGGAGGGGGCAGACTGCCGTTCATTGCCCACTTGGCCAGATTTGTGCTTGTTTATGTAGACATAGAAGCTGTTTAAAACCTGAACCTTTTAATATCAGCTTTTCCAAGAAGAGCCTGTAATTCTAAAACTAGCTTGTCATATAAACGAAGGTATGTGGAGAAATGCAGCACCCCCTGTGGACATTCCTAGTGATGATGTTCTATGACAGATGACCCAGAAGATGAGCCACATCATGGCCACTTCATTTCAATGGCAGTTTTATTGGGCAAATAGATCTTGAAGGTTCTAAGCAGGCAGGAGAAGAAAAGTGAAAGTTTAGTATTAAAGGCATGGAAGAGAAAATATAAGTCTGTTGAAGATGGGTTTAGGCTTAAGCCTCTTGGTTTAAGAGAAGATACTGAGGGAGCTTCTTGTCCTGGGACTAGCAATCAAGATCAGAGTGTAACTAAAAGCCAAATAATTATTTGCCTCTATTCCAGCATTTAATCCCAAACAAAAGTAAATTGAAAAAAAGCAGAACATTATAGTCTTTCTTTCCATCAGTTGGCTTCTTATCTTGAATTGCTCCCCTCTTCAGTTTCCATCATATTTTACCTCAATTTAGTTCATTTTCCAAATGTTCAAAGATGCAGAATTCTAGTAAAGATGGGGAGTGTGTCTTGTTACAGTATTTCTGTACTGGCACTGCTGGCAGTGCAGTTGCCTCTGATTTTATATGTTGATCTTGGAAATGGCATCTGTACAACTAAAGTGGGATTTTTAGTGAGAAGTGCAGTGCCAGGACTGGTTGGGATGGAGCTGAGCTAGCAGTGGGAATAATTTGTGCATGTTTTAAATCATTGGCTAGCTTCATCCATATAACCTGCTGCTCACAATTTAGATGTTTATAATGCAGTGATAGTGCATATTTGCAGCCGCAGTGGCACATTGTGCAAAGTTGTACTTTCTTATTGGAGGGCTCTGCATATACTCATTCATCCACAATAGCTGACTTTGTGCTAAGTGATTTTTTGGTTTGTTCTCTTAAAAGTGGTTGAACCTAACAGGCAACTTTGGTGTGGAGATGGCAATTAAAGTGGAAGAGTTGAATTCTTGATATTCTCCGAATGTGGCTTTTTTCTTACAGATGTTTTGTTACCAGACTAGGTAACATCATCAGCACTCTGACTTGGGGAAGTAAGATTTTTTGACTGTTTAGATATTGTGGGGTGTCCTACCAGACTTGTGTGGGTTTGAGCAGGATATGTTGATCTGTGGTATTGTTTCTTCTTTGACTGGCATGCTATTGTCTGGTCCTTGTTGTGGTGATTAGATGTTGATTCCTACTTATCTGGGAGTTGGTTAATAAGGGAGGATGTGCCCTGGGCCATCTGGCCCTTCCTTTAACCTTTTGTTGTTGCTTTTGAAAGTTCATAAATGGGATTTATTTCTATATGCCTGTTAATTGCGAATTTGTCAGAGTGCCAAGCTTCTAGGAATTCTCTTGCATGGAATCAAATTCACAAAAGAAGAAAGGAGCAGTAACAGACTACCCTTCCTGGATGTACTCATCAGTAGAGAAAACAATGGCAACTGTAAGGCAAAGTGCATCATAAAGCATAACCAAGTGCTCAACTACCTACCGCACACAAAAGAAGTTGTGTAACAACCCTCTTCAGATTACCAAAAACGATTGTGGTAACCCAGAACTCCAGGAAGGAGAAATAGATTATCTATACAACATGTTCCAATGCAATGGATACCCATTCAACTTCATTAAAAAGTGTCTATTCATGCAACCAACCAGAATGTCCTTCCTTGGGAGTTACACTTGGTTTCCATGGTTTTTGTCTTTAGACAGTGAGGCCAGATCTTCTTTACTAGGCCTTTTCTCAGGCCTTTTCAATTTGAGGTAGTTTATAGTGATTTTAATTGATGTTATTGCTTTTGAGGAAGTGCACCACATGTTAAATAAATCTCTTGGTCCCTGTGGCAGTTCCAAGTAGGGCAAGGGATCTGTCTGTATAACTATTTACATTGCCTCATCAATTATTTTAATTATTTTAATGGACAGATTGATTAAAGAAAACAAAAAGCATCAGGAACTAATTTTGGACATTTGTTCAGAAAAGGACAACTTAAAGGATGAACTGAAGAAGAGAACAGAAACTGAAAAGCAACATCTCAATATAATTAGACAGGTAAGAGTTTTATGCTGATCCAAGTTTTGTGTCCCTCAGGAAACTTTGTGTGTTTGTGTATTTGTGTTTATACTCCTAAACTGATCTTCAGTAAATTGTATTTTAGATTATTCTTGCCACAGTCTAAAACCAATAATTTTTTTTTCTGGTGATAATTTTTTTTCAATTGCAGAGCAAGTTTACAGAAAGGAAAGGAAGTAAGAATCCACCACATTCAAGCTTTGCTGGACCATATTAAAAACGATGTGTATATGCTTTATTCTTTTCTCTTCCCTGTTGCATGCTAATTTTTCTTCGCTTTCCCACTGGTTCTTCTGTAAAACTTCTGAACTCACTCCAGCTACATCCTATATGGATATTCCGTCTGTTCCAAAACCGAGTTTTTTTAAAAAATAATTCTTTTGGTTATCACTGCAGCAGATGCAGTATCATGTATTTCTTTGACAGGTACTATACATATTGGTGTGTTGGGCTCCAGCTGTCAAACTCTTATGTTTAACTTTTTTCTAAGGTTTACAAATGCAGAAACTGTGACTTTTAATTAGTCAGTTTTCTAAGACTGTTCCTCAAGTTACACATCATGTCAAAATATATATGGACATTTGTTTTCACTTTACAGCTGGAAATCAGAATAGAAGACCTTCAAAAAGAAGCTAAAGCAGTTAAAGATAAACTTATATCCCAGGATGCTGCTGCAAAAAATGCTGTACAGCAACTGCACAAAGAGATGGCCCTTCGTACAGATCAGGTGATTAGGAGGCATAGTGATACTTTCCTAGATCAGAATGTCAGCTGTTTTAGCCCATCACGTGTTTATGTTACCTATTCTAACTTCGCTGAGAGCCAAGTTAATAGAAATAGGCTTCTCTCCATTCTCTGTAGGAAACTATGTATTTTGTAATCCTTCACTTCAACCTATTTTTATTTTCGTTGGAGATGAAAACATGTATTTGCTCTCATGGCTAAAAGTAAACTTGTAACATCTGGTATTCTAAGGCAAACAAGAAATGTGAAGAAGCCCGTCAAGAAAAGGAAGCTATGGTCATGAAGTATGTTAGAGGAGAAAAGGAGTCGTTAGATCTCAGAAAGGAAAAGGAGATTCTTGAAAGAAAACTGAGAGATGCAAATAAAGATATTGAAAAGCATACTAACAAAATCAAGCAGCTTTCCCAGGAAAAAGCAAGATTGCACCAACTCTTTGAAAGCAAGGTATACTATTTGTATTGACTTTCTTTTGGTAGTCACCTTGAATGGCAAAAATTATATCACTTGGTGGTTCTTGCACATGAAGTACAGAAATGAGGCACAGTAAAATGAAGCAAAGGAGAAAACGTTGTACATATTTATTGTATCTATATATCTGTGGTGAGTTGGATATCTTTTGGGGCACTTAAAGAAAACAACTACCATGGAAGAGCTTGCCTAAACACAGACTGGCTCCCATGATTGGTATGGTCCACTACAAAACTATTGATTACCCAGAATTCAAATCATGCGCATATTCTTAAAGAAAGGTATGGGTTGCAGCTATCCACCACTTGAGCCTTAGAAACATTCCTAAACTTGTAAATGTCAGCTTTATATCTATTTGTTACCTACCTACCTATTTGTCATTAAAAGAATCTCAGGGCAAAAGGAGAAAGTCCATTACAGCAAGTTGCCAGTCAGGTATAAAAAGAGATATCCACAATCTCCAGGCATATTGATATTCATGACACGATATCCTTATCCTGATTTATGCAAAAATAATACTGTCAAGTCTGTGTATTTTGACCTGTGTCACCTTCTGGAGTGTTTTATTTTCTTAATTTATGGAAAAAGGAAGGAAGTCTACTTACCTATACAATGTAAAATACCTCTGGTAATAATAAGACCTCACTGTTATTCATATATCATGTGTCAATTATAAAATAGTTTTCTTGGCCCTTTAATAGTTTTATTCAGGTAACTAATATTTTATAGAATTAGAAATATTTCATTATAGAAACAAGAAACGGGGAATGCTATGGTATTGGAAAGTGATAGGTTGAAAAAGGAATTACTTCATATTTCTCAGTATAGTGAGGGATTTGCTGCCCCCAAATGGTGACATTTGAATTATGTGCATGGTGTTTAAAGGCATGTTTATATATGAAGTTAAAAGTGTTTGTGCTTTGTAACAGAAAGGAAAACCTACACTGGCCAGAAGGCTCATTTGCATTATAAATTCATTCTGGCCTCCTTCTGCCTTAGTCATATTTTTCTCAGTGTAAGATTTATTTTTCTTAAAATAGAAAAAAGGATTTACCCCACCAGAGATAGCTAGAATCAGGGTGAGAAAAATAAGAAGAATAACAAGTGCTTTAATAAATTCAGATGGGATACAATTTGATTTTATGCTAACATATGTAGCTTTGATATTAGTATGAGTTACTGAGAGAGGTGGTGAAATTGCTTTTATTGGCTGTGTTCAAGCAGAGACTGGACAGCCGCCTGCAGAAATGCTTTAATTTACATTCCTGCATTGGGTAAGTAGTTAGATTCAGTAGCTTAAACATCCACTTCCAATTCTACAGTGCCTTGATTAAACATTGCAATATCAATGATTACATCAGAATGTAGATTCAGGACCTTTCAGGAATTATATTCCATTGTCACTAGCCTGATTAGATGTAGGCAGGCAGAGTCCTTCAAAGTCAATAAAATCCAAATATTTCATGTTCCGCTTTGGTTAATCTGTTGTGATTATGTTCATTATTTGCAAAAAAGTAACTAACTTTTTTATTAGTGTACATAGGCTTAATTAACATCAGTATTCTAAAATTATTCTTTATAAAGGAAAATGAAACCACCAGAATGTCCCGAGAAATTGAAAAATTAAAAGAAGAAGTCAACTCTTATGTGATCAAAGTAAAATGGGCTCAAAACAAATTAAAGGCTGAGGTGGATTTACACAAGGTCAGTGTGTTTAATTTAAATTAATATAATTAAAATAATATTGTCAAATCTGTGTATTTTGACCTGTGTATTTTATAAAAGGCTTATGAGTGTTTTGTCAAAGAGTTCTCTAGGCTCAAATGGATAAAACAAAGCACACAAGAACCTTAAGAGTCAGGTCAGAATTTTTCTTTATTCAGAATTTTTCAGAGCTAGAAAGGGTTTAGTTTCTCTTTCAGCTAAGCAAGGCTAATTATACAAGGGATTCATTAAAGCAGTGTTTCTCAACCTTGGCCACTTTAAGATGTGTGGACTTCAACTCCCAGTATGGGAGCCAGCATGGTTGGGTAAGGAATTCTGGGAGTTGAAGTCCACACATCTTAAAGTGGCCAAGATTGAGAAACACTGCATTAAAGGACACCGCCTACTGCAGACCCCTCCCCTTCTGTTTTTGACTTCAGAAGAGAGTGGAATGTGACAAACTGATTTATGACCTTCATTGCTCTACCATTTGGAGATTAACTATGTTCATGTTGCTCTTTCTAATGTAGCAGTATGTGTCTATCTTAAGCTGTTGGTAATTGTGTTCCCCATTGTGTTAATCAGGGATTGTTAGTTGAAACTTACCTGGCAACATCTTTGATCTTCTTGGATCTATGGATCATCATCTCCTCTAAATAAGTATCTCTGGCAGGCGGACTGATCCCATGTCTGTCATCTTTCTCCATGCATAGCAACCTCTTCATTGACCTGTCTTCAGTGATCTTGAATCACCCAAGAACCTGTAATTCTTGAGCAGTCTGATACTGCCTCATTCCATTTTTGCTTGCTAATCATTTTCCCTCCTGCTTCTCTGAATCCTATAACCAATTTCTTTGAGCCAGCTGTTTAGCTGTTTCTTTTCCCTATTCATGAGAGAATTTGTGTGTGTGAGAAAAACTTATCAGCTGCAGGTACAGTCTGTATGTCTGGGAGATCATATGACAGTTTTTTCACATGTATCACTCCCATAAATACAATGGCCCCTTTTTGCTTGCCCTGTTGATGCCATTGTTTCTCCTCTAACTTTTTAAAAAGCTCTCTTTCTGCCAGACTTACCAACCACGAAGACTTTAGTTTTTACAGTACATGGTAATCAACAGACTATTTCACAAACAGCCTTTTTTAAAGTTTCTAAGCAATCTGTAAATTTATTTATTTTAAAGTTATATATTTGTTAGATTTATATTCCACCTTTTCGTTCAGGAGCTCAAGGGAGTGTACATAGTACTCTTTCCTATATTTTCTGACAACAGCAATCCTGGCAAGTAGGTTGGGTTGAGAGAGAGAGAGAGAGAGACTTGTGCAAAGTCACCATGTGAGTTCCTATGGCCAAGGGAGGACTAAAACCTGGATATCCCTGCTGCCAGTCCAAAACCTCACCTATCTCACCACACAGATTCTCTAAATGTAGGGAAGAGGATTGATTCAAAGGGAATATGTTCTTGATAGATCTTATTTCACCTATTTCAAATGGCCTTATCTAGTGTAAGTTGGAAAATGGCAAAAGGAATGTGAGTTGACATAAAATAGGTAGTGACCCACCTGCCAGACATTTAACATACTATATAACTGAATAGATATTTCTTAACACGTAATTGTCTGTTTTACTAATAAACCTGTCCTAAAGGTTTATTTAATAAAAATAATATACAATTGTTGTAACTTAATATGAAGAACAAAGCTGAGAAGCTCATGTATGCACTCAGTCCCTTAAGATCTTGTCCTATTTGTATTTAATGTGAATCAGGTCTTTCTGAGCTTAGCCTGAAGTAATTTTAAATAGGATTGTAAGTTTTAAGTTTTTAGATCTTCTGCTTCTCTAGGAATAGAGTTCTTTTATTTAATTTTTAAGGTCATATGTTAATGAATGGATATGCAACCTTTTTTTGAGTCCAGGGTCTTTACTTGGCCCTTTTAAAATAAGATACAGATATTTGAAAATAAGATAATTTAGGCAATTTAACCCTATTACTTTCTATGCATTTATTTTTTATTTCTGTCACATTAAAAATTCTGGACAGGAAGGTGGATAATGAAAATGGAAATAACAGAAATGTCTGAATGCGCATTGAGGATATACATGCAAGGCTTTGGATGAGCCATATCTTGGAGCTTCTGATTGGGCACCTCTGCTCCACTATGAACATTGAAGTAGACTGTTATCATTTCTGTGCAGAAATGATAAATAATTAATTTACCAATGTTCTTATTTATATTAAAGTTAGTTAATGATTGTTAAATCATTTACATTATAGGAGACCAAAGATCGCCTTAAAGAGGCAGCAACGAAGTTGACTCAAGCAAAGGAGGAAGCTGACCAGATACGAAAGAATTGCCAAGAAATAATAAAAACATATCAGGTATGATCTAATTTCACTTTCAATATATAAATCTTTTCTTGTAATCAGGAAGTATAATTGTTCTCTCTGAAACTGAGAGTAATGACCTATGATGCACTACACATCACAGTGTATAAGTGATGATGCAAAAGATCAAGTTATTTTAATCTAATGTATATTTGATCCATTTACAAATAGTTATAACATAATGTCATCTTTTCTCAATATCATATCATTTCCTTAAAATGAGCAGATTTTTGTCCCACATAGCACTGTTTCTGTAATCATTCAGTTGTACAAAGCATTGCATCCTCTAAAACCTTCATTACCTTTTTTTGTAAAATGTCTTAAATTTCAATATTATCCAGGCTGATCTTGATAGGAGCTAGATATAATTTGCAGGAAAGTCATGCTAATTTATTTCCAGGAGGGCAGTCATCACTTGTCATGCAGAGAGCAAATATATGTTCTTTAGATTTAGCATCTGATGTTGTCTCTAAACTTGCTCACTTATTGTTGAAAAGGCTGATTGTATAACACAGCTATACATTTAATAGGTCAAGGTATCTGTCATGAGTTTGCATCTATTTGTCCCACTTCCAGTATAATGTGCAAAGAGAGCTTATTCATTCCACAGAGTCCCACATGTTTAGAATGTGTGGGAGTGCGTCTGTTCCACTACAGAAAGTTACAAAGGGACTTCCTTTGCTTATTTCTTGCTGGTGTGAAAAGCAGCTATTTGTTTCCAAAGCTGACTTACTAAAAACAAACAACTTTTAGGTTGAATATAAATGAAAGAAAGATAACTATAAGATAAATTGTACAATGAATAGATCATATGATAGATATTTTAGATGTATAAGTTACATCTTCAAGATAGTTGAGATAATATTACCTCTCTGTGTATGGAGTTCTGGACAGGGTGTTTAAGTCTGCTTCACATGCTCATTTCTCTTCCGTGTTTTTTCTACTTTAAACTATAATGTTCTTAGGAGTCTGAAGAAATTAAATCCAATGAATTGGACATAAAACTCCGACTTACCAAAGGAGAACTGGAGAAACATTTGCAGGAGAGGTCTGATCACCTAGAGGTAAGATGTATTACTTGCTTCAGTTGTTGCTCTTTTATATATTCTTGCTAGATTAATATGGGAAAAAGAGGTCCGATACAAATCACATCTAGAAGGAAGAACGCTGAAAGTCATTGCTCCAAATTGCAGAGTTGTATCTTGGTGTTTTTTTTCCCTCCCAAAGGTCCATCATGCCAAGATAAAAGAACTTGAAGATGTGAAGCGAACATTTAAGGAAGGCATGGATGAGTTGCGAACCCTAAGGACAAAGGTAAGGAAAGAGAGTTCCCTCTAGCTGTAAGGAGGGTGGTAAACTCAAGGATTCATTAACTTTTCTAGAAAATGTGATTATACATATGGTTTGTTTATTTATTTCTTGAATTTATATAGCTGCCCATCTAACCTTGTGACTCTAGACAGCTCACACTACAAAAAAATATAAAAATACAGGATATCATAAAAAGCAACACTACAATGTAGCCAAAGTTTTTAGTCCCCCAAATTGCACATGAACAATCCCACCCAGAGCGAGAGATGGAAAATCTGCAGAGCCAGGGCCCTAAAACCCCAAGCTACTTGGTCTTGCTAGGGTTGAATTGAAGCCTGTTCTTCCCCCCAGACCCCTACAGTTTCCACTGTGAAAGAACCTTGATGACGAAAAAACCTTGATGGCATCACCGGGATAACCCAGGGCAGAGATGTCCTGTCCCATTTAGTTACTCAATAGTTTGAATGGATTTTTCTCCAATTTGGAAGCCTAAAACCACAAAAACAAAAACAAAATAATAATAATGATGATGATACTTTCCTGCAGATCTGGAATTCCTTCCTGTGCCATGATAATGGTTGCATTCTTTAACAAATTAATTCAGTTGCTGATCTTTAGAATGACTAGGTCTCACATATGCATAGTCCCATTTTATTCCTTGTAAAATTGAGGAGATCCAAAGCTTCTTGCTCAATTTTGTATTAATTGCAATTTAGTGTTATGTCTGTACTATAAATGATAGTTAATTAAAATAAGGAACCCTATAACCCAGAGTTCACATTTGGTTTGCTTTGACAAATCAATCAAGATTTATCAAACTAATTTTGTGAAATGGAAGTGAAAACTTCCAAAATATTTCTGGAATATCTTGGTGGAAGAGAAAGCAACAAACAATCCTGAAAGTCATTGTACCTTGGCATGACTTAGCATGATGTCCAAATGTGGCCATTTAGAAGAAGAAGACTTCAGATGAAGATTGAGAAGAGAAAGTAGGTTAAATATTAGCTAGTATGTCTGTTCCAACCAGATAATATTTTAATGGCCTGAAAAACTAATGAAACCTATTAGATAAAGTGTTATTTAAATTGACAAATTGGGTTTGTTTGTTTTATTAGGTCAAGTGTTTAGAGGATGAACGGTTGAGAACAGAAGATGAGTTATCAAAATACAGAGAACTTATTAATCGACAGAAGGCTGAGATTCATAATTTGCTAGACAAAGTGAAAACTGTAGATCAGCTGCAAGAGCAACATCAAAGGTACAAAAGTTAAATTCTTTGTTTTATTTTGAACAATGAAAATAATTTTATATGCAGAACATTCCATTTTAAACATTCTGCTCGGTGCAACAAAATAATCTGTGTTTTTTTTTATGAAGTTAACTTAAGTAATGTTACTAATATCAAGCAATATTTATTGCTGTTTAATACTGGTACACCAGATATTTCAAATTTGAAGTATCCTGTTTCATGTTCAAAATTGTCTCATTCAACCAAATGCTTGCAGAATGGCTGAAACAATTTGACTTTTTAATATGAAACAGTTGTTTTGAACTCAGACCAAGGTATTTCAGAGTCCTAATGCTATTGTTAATATTTCTGAAATGTTGGTGTAATGGAAAGGTGGTTTCTGTTTAAATTCTTGTAATGGTAAGTTCAAAAGAAAATTTTTTTTTAATGCTGTAGTTAGATTTAATACTAAATATAAACAATATATTTTTATATTTCTTTATCTTAATTATTTAGGATTTTGTTACTGTATTTCTATCAACACAGATACCTTTATTCATGGCTAAGGACTCTGGCTAGCTCAGCTTTTTGAAATTGCTGAACAGGCAACCATTTCTAGAGGTTAAAAACTGAAATTATTTTCATAATGATAAGCATTTTCTAATTCTTTCATTTTTGTGTTTATAAGTTTATAAAGAATCATTCTTTAAAAAGTTGAAATCACAACAGATCTTATCAGGAACATTTGCAAAGATAAGATTTATCCTAGCTTATAGTACATATTTTTATCAAGTTGATAATTTACCATAACCTTTCTTTCTGTGTATTTCATAATTTAATGTTCCATTTTAGACACATTCAAGCATTTTACTAGCCATTCATTTATCTCAGGGGCTGAGGATTTATCACCACTTTATCCAGGCAATCTTATAAAACAACAGTAAATTTGTGATCAGTAGTTTCACCAAGATAGGAAAGTTTGCTTCTTTTACATGGAAAATTAAACTTAATATAAGATAAATTGTATGTGAAATATTCTTTGATATTTTTGCCAATATTCATGAGTATATTGGTACATTCCTCTCAACACATGTGTGATAAAATTCTTAGTAGTCTTAAAGTTTAGAATGTTTTACTCCATTTTTAATTGGACATCATGATTAATCATTTACTACCTATTCTTCATCCTTTGATCTCCACAAAATGTTCATGAAAGATTCAAAAGCCACTGTGTGCTCTAGAGCCCATGTGCTGGTTTGAATGTAGCCAGTTAAAGTATTTTAAATATCTTTATTGAAATGAATATATTTATTGAAATGTTCCCAGATTTATTGTGATGCTGAATGTATGATAAATCTGCTCCTTAGAGTTTGCTCCTCTAAACTCCTTAGAGGGAATTGTGAGATGTAAAACTAATAATTTTATAGTACATAGATATTTTTAAAGGGTGTTTAACTTATTTTCTCCTACTTCTCAAGGGTGTTCCATCAATTTGCAGCTTCAAACCCTTTATTTCAGCACCAGCTTTTGGAGTCTTTATCTACTCTCTCTTTGCATTTTAAATTCGCCTCTTCCTTCACTTTACCTCCATTGGTCCACGTTCAGATTTCCTCAGTTTTAATATATATTGTAAAAGAAATTAGCTACCTTCAGTATTTATTCATGTCTATTTTAAGTCTTCATCTCCTTGAAGAGGGGCTTTTTTTTAATCCTTTGGTCAGTATCTTATAAAGTTAAGTTGCCTTCAAGACAAACTCAGCTCCTGTTGACTTTCTGGAGATATACATACAATTTTATGAACAACAGCATGGAAGTGGTTTGCCATTGCTCACTGACAATAATTCTTCTCTTAAACGTTGATGAAATAGTTTAAGTGGCTTTCTGTGTTTAACATCAATAAGGTTAAACAGCTAGAATCCAGTTTTGTAGATTACAGGACAATCTAATTTACGGGGAACTAGACAAAAAATGTCTGGCCACAATCATGTTTCCATATGGTCTAGGCAAACTAGGATTTAAAGTGCAGCCCTTACTACTTTGGTGTTTTATTATGTTGCATATTAAATGAAGGCAGCTATCATGTGATTGGAGAACCACCCATATAGCTCACAGGTTTTGTAAATGATAATTATTTGGAATGTTTCAATGTCACCAACTTCCCTTTGGATTTGCAGTATGTAACATAAGCATCTCTTGCCAATTAACACTGAAACCCATTTCCATAAAATGTGTTGTTAGAGTGTTTGCAGTTTGAAGCTGATGTGTAACCTCTGATGATAGAAGTGACTCCTGTCATTAAATGCATTTTCCTTTGGAAGTTAAAACTATTTAATTACATGCTGTCAAGGCTAGAAGTCACATCATGTTCTAATTTTCTATAACTACTTGCTTAAATAGTCAGTAAGTACCTTGTATTTGGATCAAGCCTTCAGATACCAAGACTTGCTTCAGACAAGTGTAACTGGTTTACTAGTGTTTGATATACTTCTTGCTTTTATTGTCTATGCTTTAGCCAAAAGAAATTGGGGTGGGGTGGAGTAGGTGCTAAGGAATGTCAGGCTCCAGGTTCTATTCAGGTATTGGTGATTTGTCTTGTGTGCAGTTTGTGTTTGCCCAGTAGAGCTAAACTAGAAACTGATCTTTACTTGGCTTGGTTTATATTCCACATTTCACTCTTTAAAAATATGCATTTGATTTAGAGATGAACACGAAATGAACTCTTTGAAGGAAGAAGTGGATAGTCTGAACACTCTGCTTAGTGATTTCCAGAAGGACATAGATGGCAGCCGGAAAAGAGAATCTGAGCTGTTGATGTTCACTGAAAAGCTAACCACTAAGAATGCCCAACTCCAGTCAGAAACCAACTCCTTACAAATGCAACTTGATAAGCTAACCTTCATGGAGAGAGAGTCACAGAATCAGCTGGAACTTGTTAATCAAGCAAGAGATGAACTGGTAAATCAAAATGCTAGTGAAATATTTCACTGTTCCTCCACACCCACTACCTGCAAATCCTGTGATTGCTGTAGATCAAGGAGCACTCCCAAAATTGCATTTGGTTCCTCTTAGGGGAATTCATTTTAAATGGTTTTCACATCAGTCCTGGAGTTCAGCTTTCTCCTTACCGACAGGAGCCCTGTCTTGTTTACGTTTCATTTCCACTTGTTCACATAAGGCATAACAGGACAATAAACTTTAATTCCTGTGTGGATGTAGGAAAGTATGAACTGCCAATGGAAGAATTAATATTTACCCTACAAAATCCAACTTTTACTTTTAGGATTTGCATATGGAGAACAGGGAAGCACTTGGTTTGAATCTCTCCCCAAGGGAGATTAGCCCTTTAAATGGTTTCAGGCAGGCAGTAAAAGCATTTTTATTTTGTGTAACTTTTACCGAAGGCATCTGATTTGACTAACTTTGGTTTAAGAGTTTTATTTTATTCTGGCTTACTGCTTAAATTGGTTTTAATCTTTTCTGTCCTACATTCCATGTTGGAAGCCCTCATTAAAATGAAAAAGTCATTCCTGAATCACCCCATAAAAAAATAAGTTTCTGCCTACCATGGTAAATCCATGTTGCTGCAAACCCCCAACAAGAATCTGTTGGCCTGTAACAAATTGAGTCAGATGAACCAGACAAATTATTCAGCAGGCCCGACTTTTCAAGTTGTTCTTGAGTCTCTCTTATTTTAAAAATACCAGTATTTTAAATTATATAAACTACTATGGAAAGGGGATGTTGATTATATGTCATTTTTCAGGCAAGTAAATTGAAGAAGGAAGAAGAGCTCCACAGAAGCAATATCCAGATGTTGGAGATGGAACTGGCATCTCAACAGAAAGCATCTGCAGATTTGAACACCAAGGCAGAGGAATTAAAAGATGAACTCATTACGCAGAAGCGAAAGCATGCCGCAAATCTTAAAGACCTCACCAAGCAACTTCAGCAAGGTTAACATTTCTCAAACGTTGGCTTCTGTGGTGTGTGTTTGACCTAGGAATTAAAACATCAGCTTTGCATCAAAGATCTTGTGTTTTGTTTCATTAGCACGAAGAAAATTGGATAGCCTTGAAAATGGCAGTTGTGATAAAGAAGTCAGCAGTATGGGGAGTCGTTCCAGCTCATCAGGTGAGTTATTTTGCTGATTTTTGAATTGTGAAGAAACAAAGCCATGCTAATAAAGTATGCTACAACTGTTAAATCTGCCATGAAAATATATTGTTTCCCCAGCAATTGTTAACAGTTTCCTATAGATTATGTCATAGTTGTACCTAGGTGTGTTGAATTTTCTTATGAAGCCCAATCTCAGTTAGCCAAAATGAATAGTAACTGCGTGTCTTGATCTTCCCTGAAAGCCTAAGGCTTCTGTGGTCTTCCACATCCAGAGCAATTTCACACTAACACCTCAGGGATAAACTCACGGGATAAACTTCGGCAAATTTTGAAAATTGTGTATAACTGTAAGGATGCATTCACAGATGCCAGTACTTTTTTTCAAGATCAAGATAGTACATGCAAATAATTTCAAAGTGGGCTGTGGATGTAATGTATTACACTCACACACAATTAGTACACTTCAGGTTTTGGTGCTTGACTTACCTACACCCGGTTGTGATTAATTTTCCAAGTCTAGCTAATTTTCAGCCAAGAGAAGCCATCTTCTGTAAGTTTCCCTACTCTTTCATTCCTCATATTGCCTATTGCTTCATGCAATTGCTGATACTTGCAAACTTCATGCAATTGCTTGTATTTTGAGGGTAGCACAAGCTGACTCTGCTGTATTTTCAGTCCTTTAAGGATGCCATCTTCATTTATCTTTAGGCAATTCCATACCCATAGCAATTTCTGGATCTCATGAGATTCTTTTCTTCTTTTGCTGACATTTAATGTTCTTTTGTTTCTCTCTGAGTCTTGTATCTCAGTCATTCTGCCCAAGAGTCCCACAAAAACCAAATTCGGAGAACCATATGTTCTTTATTACAGAATAAACACACACAAACAGAACAAATGGAGTCAGGCAGGTCTTTGAAAGAGTAGCTTGGTTTGAGAATTCTGTACTGAATGCAGTGGTAGTTCTGTGAGGCTATGGTGGAATGCCTAAGTAATGCTTGGAGATTTTGATCTACCATTTATAATTTGTTGATTTTTATCTTCAGAAATGCCTCTGGTGGCAGATAAGATTTTGATGATTTAAACTGCTACCTCAAAAGCTGGAGATACACAAATGAAAGACTCAATTTGCATGTTACAAATGATGAGCCTGCTGCTTTAAGATTCATTATTTCTATGGTACTTTTAACCTGAAGAGAAATTATTAGCTCTTGTTTGGTGTAGAACCTGTCAATAATCTGTGTGATCTGTAACTGGTATTAAAGTTCATATTCACCTTGAGGTATTCATACATACATATTCAAAGTGTTTTTGTCTGCTTCTTTCCAACTCTTTTTTATTTCCTCTGCCAAAACTAATTTCATTTAAAGAAATGTGACTTTTCTGAATGTTATTAGTTCCTAAATAGAGACAAAGTTTTACCTGGACAAGTGTTGACCTAATTCTGAAGATGTTTATATATACTTGCGGAAAAGGAAAAAAGCAAAGGGATGGGGGAGAAAGATTTGCCTTAGAACTGGGCAATCCAATTAAGATGCAGTTGGTTTGGCAGGGTCTCTTAATGCCCGAAGCAGCAATGAAGACCGTTCACCAGAAAACACTGGCTCTTCAGTAGTAGTTGATCATTTTCCTGAAGTGGACAAAACTGTCTTGATTGAGCGGATAGTAAGACTGCAGAAAGCGCATGCTCGAAAAAATGAAAAGATGGAGTTCATGGAGGATCACATCAAACAACTGGTGGAAGAAATCAGGAAAAAAACCAAGTATGTACCATAATGGTCCATGTTCTCATTAGCTGGGGAAAGAAAAGAAAAAGGCTCAGTGTAACCCTAATATTGTGCCACGGTCTTGCTCTGTCCTGCAGTAAACACAGCACATTTGTAAAGTGAAAGTTCAAATGGTGGTAGTCTTTTCCAAATAGCTTCAAGTATTTCACTGTTTAATAGAGCAAATAAATAGGGGAAATTTCCATTTATCAACCTTACTTATGAATTCAGCAAAAAGAATCTCTTAGTAATAAACAGAACTTGTTCTGAAATTAAATGAAGAGAGCAATGTTGACTAAACTGTAGAAATGTAATGTTTATGTTTTGATTTACAGTATATAAAGTATTCTCTGCTATTAAAGATGTTTATTTCTATATCCTGATTTAAAGTTGAATTCTGAAAATAGCCCACAATAAACTGAATCAAAAGTAATTACTTGCTAGAAAGTTATTAAGCTTAAATTTATTCCTCACTGTTCTTTCACTGGCTTATTTTAGAGATAAAACTCTTCATATAAAAATATTTGGGTTAACTGCTGTCATTCAATACTCTGAAGTAATTATGTGGCTGCACATAACTGCAGTGAAATGTTTAATGTATACCCTGGCAGAATATATCATTACAGACCCCCACCTGTGTAACTGCTCATTGAAATATGTGTGCTATAGAGACCTGATTCTTAAAGCAATATCCAGGGTAGTGATAGTTTCTAAGAATTTGCCAAATTAGTTCCATGGTCATATTTTGTTATTTGCAAACAGAACAAATTAACTAGCTCTTGCCATCTGGAGGCAACTAAATGATTTTTGGTAGCATTGTCCTCATGAGACATTTTTACTTACCAGTTTTGTGTATTAATGATAACTCTGGGAATGTGAAACTTCGGCATGAACATATTCCTTAGCTTTATACAGTTCTGACTGGAAAGATGCACTTGTTCACTGTTTCACATAAAAGGAGTAATTCTCTTCCACTTGCCATTGACTAGCTATGATATACATAAAAACATTTTTAGCTATTGGAATTTGGGTCTATCAAGCTGCTACGCTTGACCCCCACTATATCAAGTGTGTAGATCTGGGGGAATTAAACTGTATGAGGATGATCTATTCCATGTAAGGAGAGAGGAAATGTAGCCCAAGAAATAGTTGAGGGAGGGTAATTTGAATAAACAAAGATGCTGTCCAGTGGAAAAGGAAATGAATGACATTATGGGCAGTTCACATATTACATTTTAACATACACCTTATAGAATGCTTTTGGTTAATCACTTGGCTTATTGGACTGTGCAGCCTGCCCACCATTTGGTACAGGACTTGACTGTAAGACCCAGTGATTAGTTTTGTACATTGCACTGAGCCACCTTAGCATGATTTGATTTGGCTTATCATTATCTCTGAAACCATTATGTGTGGATTGAAAGCCATTGTTGATGGCATAGTGTTATTTATGAAGTATGCCATTGTGGCTTATGTTAAATGTATCCTTGTTTCTTGATTGGGGTAGGGAGTTGGAATTCTCATAGGTACGTATCTGAAGTTCCATAGGAGTGGCTCCTTTGTCTTTGATCAGTAGAGAACACGCAGAGATAAGTAGGAGCCTGGCCCTCTCTTCCAAATTACTATGCAGGACTTCTCATTCCTGACATATTCAAGACTTGTGTTCTGGGAAAAGCAAAAAAAAAAAAAATTCTTTAGTTAAGGTGCAAGAGTGATGCAAATGAATCAGAACTTTCCCACTAGCCTCAATCAGGCCAAGCTTTTCTGTGACATCATCTTACACTATTTTGATTTTTTGCAGAATAATCCAGAGTTACATTTTGCGGGAAGAAGCTGGCACACTTTCATCTGAAGCATCAGATTTCAATAAAGTACATTTAAGTCGGCGTGGTGGGATCATGGCTTCTCTCTACACATCCCACCCAGCAGACAGCGGACTCACCTTAGAACTCTCTCTGGAGATCAACAGGAAACTTCAGGCGGTCCTGGAGGATACTTTATTGAAAAATATTACCCTAAAAGTGAGTTTTAAGATAACACTCCAAAATAAATTTTATAAAATAGAGAAATACTGAATACAATTTCACAGTAACTTTAAAAATTGCAGAATAGTGAGGAATACTTCTGGGACTGCGCCACAAAATAAAATCTGTATTTGAATAGCAGTTTCCATTAAGACAAAAGACTAAAGCTACACTAAAGGAAGCCCGATTAGAATTAGGGCTGCTATTCTAAACACACTGGGAATAATTTCCAGGGCAGCTAAAAGAGCTTACTTCTAAGTATTTTAGATTTGGGTATGATCTTGTTTTAAGCAAAATGAAGTAAATACATAGTTAAATTATTGTATGAAAGTTTAATAAAAGAAAGTCATTATTAATCCCAAAACTGAAGCTCCTCAGATGTGTCTTTCTAAGTGGGGGTGGGTAAGATGGGGATCCTCCTTCAGGAGCACAGAAGAATGCTGTCTGGGAAAGAGAATTTCTGCTGTGGAGGCTTTAAGTATACATGTGGGAAGCTCTGCGTTTGTAATTCACCCATTGTTCCTGCTGGTAACAGGTATTTCAAAGCACAGTTTGCCTTTGAATCACTGGTCAAAAACCTCTCCATTCACATGTAGGGCCCTTGGAATAAGCCCTTGGCAATGTCGGTAAGCATGGGCAATTTTACTCCTGTTAGAACTAAGAGGAAATTTTAAAAAGGATAATGTAATCGTATGTGGGAATGACTTTGGGAAACTGGACGACAAGATGCTGTCTCGGGAATGGTCAGATAAGAGGGAGCATAGCCCACAGCTGCATAGTCAGCAGAGCAAGAGGCTCAGAAGGGATGCTCCCTAAATTATTGGGCTGTAAAAGTGACGAGAGAATTGTACTTTCAGTCTTGCAAGATTCTGTTATGTAGCCTCACAATAAAGTAGAATTAGCTCATGACCATGAGCTAATCATGACCATGTTTCCTGGGAAGGCTGACGTTAAAGACAGCAGAAACAAAAATAGTTTAATTCCTTAGTCACCAGCCAGCATAGCGCAAATTGGAAGGGTTTCAGAATTCATCACCTCTATCCCTTTTAAGGGCTAATTTGTACATATATCCCACCCAGAGCAATGAATCTAGTCATGACTGACTAGATTTAAGACTTAAGTGTCTACTTCAAAGCCTGGCTGGAAAAGGAAAGTTTCTTAATGTCGTTTTTTATAGTTTTCAGAGCATGTCATGCTGAAGAGATGAATGTTTTGGTTGAGAAGGCTATAGTCCCAACTATTACATTCTTACTTTATAACTAGTTGGAATCTGAACCAGAATCTCACTCATTAATTCCAAAGGAAAATGAGATATGAAAAGGTGTTGTCTGACAGATGCTAGATCTTTTCCATATAGTCTTTATATGCAATAAGTAAGAACTTGGATTTGATTTAGAAACTAACTGACCACCCAAATAAGTAATGTTTATGCAGTTATAGACTTGCTTGGTGTTACCATTTTAAATGTGTTATTTAGAGTATATTTTATAGTACTGTAGAATCTGTTAACTATTTTAGTTTGTATTTTATTGTATTTTTTTAAAGGAATGTTTTAAAATAATAGTTATTGAAATCTTAGAATCAGAAATGGAGAACAAATTATGGTTAGAGTTCCCCATCCATCTTTTAACTCTTCTACCATTGTTTTCCTGATCAGGCTGTTCCAGAATCCAAATATCCTTGAAATGTACTTTAACTGGGTATTGAATTTGGGTTTCTTTAAAGTCTGGAATATTGACAGGCTTTGTTTAAAAGCAATAAAAGTATGCTATTGTGACTCAGTTTTATATGCTAAACAAACTTGTTTGAAGACTTTAATCTTGCTATGAAGCTTATGGAACAGTTCATATTTTTCCCACAAAGATTTCTTTGTAATGCTGAAATATAGCTGCAATTCATTTTAGAAATAAATATTTTTAAATGTAGTCTAGCTGAAGTTATAGTTTCCAAAATAAGGCAGTTTTGCATAGATGAAAAAAAAATATGACTGAGTGAATGCATCTTGTATCTTATGAGTATGTGCTAGTTCAGATAATATACTTGAATGAATTCATTCTGAATGTGTAGGTAGCTCTATTTGAATTTAAATATTGGAAGTTCTGCTAATAATTTGTCTCTTTCTTCTTCAAAGGAAAACCTGCAAACTCTGGGAACTGAAATAGAACGGTTAATTAAGCAGCAACATGAACTAGAACAGAGGCTGAAGCAAACATAACTGAGAGCAAGACCAAAGAAGTAGACGTTCCAGCTTTGATGATTATATAAACTGGATGGCCAGCTATGTTTTGTTAGTCCCACAAAGTTTTAATAAAGCAAAGTTGCTTATGAACAACTTTGACTAGATCCCAATGCCTGCTTTGCTTAAACAAATGGAGACCTTGAACTTTTCTGAACATACTTCCATCCATCACTGAAACTAAATATCAACACTTGCAGCTTCTTCTGTTAGAGAGAATGCAACTGCTTTGCTTTTAAAGAAGCAGCTTTAAAGAATGGACTAGTGTACTAGGACTGGTGTGTTTGTTGTTGATTGTTTTACAGAGGGAAGATGGGGGTAAAAATGGGTGGCTGTTGCATGCGTATTAACCCCAGTGCCTTCTAGGGCATACATTTTTCCCCTAAATATACATGCATTCTTGGATATATTTCGATTTGTTATTTATAACATGCATTGGGAAAGGGCTTCATGGTATACTTTCTTTTAATATACAGTTGAAAGATATGACAGGTATTTTAGCAACTTGACCAAAAACAATTTTTTAAAATCCCTCTTGATTCCTCAGATGTGAATAGTATCTTTTTTTAAAAAAAAAATGCTGATAACAAAAAGATTGAGAAAACTCTGCAGTATATTGACCCAAGAGGTTGAAGCCAATTTTGTATCTATGGGAAGACAAAAACAATATAGAATCAATAAGCCCTCAGATCTTGCGGAATGGCTCTGTTCATTGAAATGGAAATAACACTGTAATTATTGCATGTAAGCACAGTTGACTGTAACACATATCTGTGCAAGTGATTGATAAAATCCTATATGGGTAGATGAAAGGAAAAGGAGATTTATCCAGATTCTGAAGATACTGAGGTCACCTCTATAACTATTTAACAATATTAATCTAATAATGCAAAGGATGACAGTTATTCACCATCTTCATGCATATAGCTTCAGCTGGAATAACAACTACCAAATTCCCAGTGACGTTACTGGCTGGGTATTCTGTAAGGTTTTTTTTTAAAGTTATATTTATATTCTGCCTTTCTACCCAGTTTTGTGTAGCACTCAAGGCAGCTCATCCTAGCACACCTGGAGGAAGACTACAAATGAGCAGTTACCCTTCATTTGCTGCAGTGGGAGAATAATAAATAATGGTATCTCGGCTAAGACATAGATGAGAGCAACTCCCCCAGTACAAAGTGTAAAGCATTAAATATAGTTAAGTCTGTGAATAATGTTGTTGTGGAGAGAATCAAGGCGATGAAAACACCCTCCTTCCTTCCCTCACAGCCTGGTGCCTCCCAGATGGAGATTGTCACCATGCGGTTGGCTCTGAATAAGGGGAGTTGTAATGAATGATGTCTGCATTAACCTCTTGGAGAACAGAAAGTGATGGTGACCTGATACAAGCTGTAGCTTCCTTTTTTTTTATTGCTTTGACAAGCACTAGCATGTATGTATCTGTGTTTCTAAGGAGCAACAGTGCAATAGAAAGAAGCTCAAATATCCTTATGTTCTTTCTCTGGGGCCAAAGGGAAGCAATAGATGTTTAGGTTTGTACTTGTCCTACCTGGTATGTTAGGCAAATACTTAGGGTTCCACTTTTTATCCCTGCTGCCCTTTTAGGAAGACAGGGCTTTAAATGAATACATTGCCCTAACTTTTTTTTTACCCCTTTTGCTTGGATGAAGATAGTTGCTGTCCAAAAATGTGTTATTATGGAACACTTAAATCTTGTGTGATTACTTTTAAACCAAGGTAGTCAGAAAGTTAATCAATAGTTTTCATTCCATCAATAAAATGAACTTGTTTGTGTTCATTTCTATTCTATTCCCCCGTCCCTGGTATATGAAAGGAAGCCAGTAACAGTTTCAGGTTGCAATAGTCCTTGTGATTGTTTATTCCAAAGGACCAGACTCCTTTAGAGCTGTTTACATAGTTGCATGTGATGGTGCCCTTCCTTGAGAAAAGTACAGAGATTTCAAGAGTTGCTTTGAAAAACAACAACAGCAGCAGCATTTGAGGTTGGAGTGATATAAACAAATCCTTTGTATAAACGTGTATATAGTGCTAGAGTTTGTATTTTTCTAAAAGCCGTGCTTTTCATATTTTTCCAAAAATAAGACACATGTATAGCAGCAACACTACAACAAGCAAACATGTTTGCTTCCGATTCATAATGTTAAATTGTACAATGCATCTTTAGGGTTGTGGACATTGCTGTATAGAATAAATTTAGGCTGCAGTCCTTTATTTTCTGAGGAAATAACCTCTGTCCAATGCAGTTGGACTTATTGTTGGGTATTTTTCTGCATTCTGTTTTACTTCATGATAAAGAGATTAGGACTAAAATAACTGAAATAATAGAAGTGAATGCCCTAGTTAATTACACAATATTGATTTTAAGGATTGAAATCTAAGCACTGCTTGCATGTCAAAGTATTTTCAAAAGCAGAGTGTCTCATGTATATGACAGAACTATATTCATTTTCAGAGCAGCATATCACCGACCTTCAAAACTTTAGCCTGTGAACTAGGTCCATGTTTGTACACTGAATTATTACACTGAAGAATGTTTAAACTGCATTCAAACCTGAGTGAACAATCATTTCTCTTTTCTTGAATAATATGGAAGTTGGAAGCTGATAAGTTCTTGTCTGAGTACCAAAGGGATTACATTGTGTAATGCAAAAGGCTGTTTTGCAGTAACTATCAGTCACTGCAAAGAAACTAGCTTTTCTAAAAGCACGGTTAGAAATCTGACATATCCTCAGTGTGAGCATGATCATCTTCTACATGTTAGAAATGTATTTCAGTACACAAGCTGTGTCAGATATATAACCACCTATGTCTTGGCTTAATAAGCCTTGTGTTTGTGCACTCCAGCCTCACCTCACTTATCCCAAAATGGGTATCAGATAACTTTTTGGTTATCCAGTCAGCACCTAAGCCAAAGAATATGCAAGCAAGTTGAAAGCAGGGAATATTTTTCTTAAAGTTAATGCCCTGTTTTCCCCACCTTTCCTTTTCATAGCTTTCTTTAGCTTTCTTTCCCATCTCTTTTTCCCCAGGGACTTGCTCTCAACCAGTTTCCAGGTTTTATCACCGTGTGCAAAATATTGCCACTATGCTCTTGAGCCTTTATTTTGGAGACATTTATAGGATCATGGAACCTCATCAGTCTGACAGTTTAGAAGCTTATCCACCGGTGTTGTTTTCATTTTCAGAGATGACCCACATCTTTCAAACATATCTTTGCTAGACTAAGAGCAAGAGACAAGTTTAGGGAGTTTTAATGAAAACAAAGTTTCTTAGGATGCTGAATTCTGCTCCAGTGACAGATGTTGTTTGATGACTCTGTTTGCTCTGAATAGTGAACAACTGTCAAGTTTGAATTGATTTCCCATGCTAGTACATTAAAACCAAAATCTCCTTTGAATGAAGCTCAGCTCTTGGTGATTTTTATGGGCATGTCTGTAAGTTTTATTGGCAATAATACGGGTTTGCTATTATAACTTTCTGGTATTTTTAAAATGTTATTTTTCCAGTCTAGACTAGTATTTCCTCATTGTCTCCCATCCAAGCACTAACAATGTCCATTGATACTTAGTTTTTAGATCATTCATTTCCATAGGAGCAATAAATAGCTAATACATGGCTAGGACAAACAAGTTGTTAATGCTGTTTATTTATTAGCAGTATTAAGTAAATAAACTAGAGTGGCTTTTTTATATTCAGGATGGTTAGAGACTCATGGATCCGTGCAACAAACATTTGAAACCAAACTAATGGTTCAGCATTAACTAAATTGAAGAGCATTTAATCTGCTAATGTCTAATCTGCTTTTCATTGGTGTTCATTTTTTACTATTTTAGCTCACTGAATGAGCTTGGTAAAACAAACCAAGCAGCGTGAGCACTGGATAAGTCTATAGCCAGGAAAATGGAGAGAACTAAGCATAGTGAGTGAGCTCAGAAAGAAAAGGTGCAAAGGGAAAAGAAGAAACTTTTGAAATTAATCTTAGGCTATTCTAAGCTGGGCTGGGTTATGGATTCAGCCAGTATGAAAGGGTACACTGCCATTAGTTTGCATGATTCATGTAGAAAATATGTACAGTATTTTTCACAAATTGCAATTAACTCAGTATTATTTCCTCCCCAGAACCTGGGATCCGTGGTAACGTAATCCTAAAATGCATATTTCCTGAACAGAAAGTGATTATCTTCTAAACTAGTGTTTCTCCAACTTGGCTTCTCCAGCTTGGGGAATTCTGTGAGTTGAAGTCCACATGTCTTAAAGTTGCCAAGTTGGAGAAACACTGTTCTAAATTGTTATGCTCAAATTGATGTCTCCTAAACAAGGTTACAGAGTTTCTTACTATTCAGAAAGGTTGGACCTACTTGAGCCACCAAGAAGGACGAGGCAGTCTGCTTATTGTTTTGCAAAATTGCCAGGCCATCCTAACTGGGGGACAGAGAGATCAAGGGTAAACTCAAAAGGAAAAAAAATATATTACCAGTCTGGCTTTGAAGATGCCATTGTGTTTTGTTAATAGGGGATAGAATGGAATATGGGATAGTAAGGAAGCAGTCCTGCTTGTCTTCAAATGTAAACTTATATCGATATAAATCAGCTTGGAAACCAAACCTATTAGTGGATAAAACATATTTTTGAAAAGGAAGATTACCCACAAATTTGGATTCAGTGTCTTGCTTCTTGTAGCATGTTTTCAATTCCAGCTTTCCTTTACCATCAAGAAAATCCCATCTTGTTCATTAAAACTGCATCCACATTTGGATGTTTTGCTTCCACTTTATTCTCTCCTGATCTTAAGTGTCAAAGCAGGAAAGTCAGCCATAACTGACTTTCAAAACTTGGCTTTTGTAATTCCTGATTTCCATGTTATGAGAAGCTGCGATTAACTGCAGTGTTGTGGCTTTTTTATCACTGCTTGCATGAACAGTGGAGGGAAGCAGGAACAAATGTGCAGTAAGACTGTGCCTATCCTGGCTTTTCAAGTCAGCATTTGATTGTACATACTGGGCCACTGTCAGAAATTCTCAATTCATAACTGCAAGTTATTGGTAAAGCACAGGGATCTTTGTAGCAAGGCACTTTCTTAGAGATACCGTCACTGTCATCTGAGGACACAGCTGAAGTGTCCAGTGATACAAAAGGCGCTACCTAGCCTGAGAATGTGGAATTGTATCTACCAGTCGGGGCATAGTGTGAGGAATCTGAAGGATGCACAAATGGAATCTGATTGACATAGCGCATCACTTGGTTTCACATTTGCGCTTGATGCCAGGCTGAATTGATAGCACTGGAAAGTATTGTGTTAATGTAGGACAATGTCCAAACTTGGCCACTTTAAGATGAGTGGACTTCAACTCCCAGAATTCCCCAGCCAGC